GAGATTCACTATTTGAATACTGCAGTACACCTTCAATTTACATTGGGAGTACAGTACAATACAAAATTTACTATACTATTTTAAACTGACATTGGAAGGAAAAATGGAAGGAAATTTAGAATTTTAGGAAGGAAATTTTGCGAAAAAAAGGACAAAAACGAGAAATTTTGCTTTGCCAAAGTGGAAGCACTGCTGAGGAGGCCCATAAGGCCGAAACGGTACCGTCTGTAGTTAGATATCGCTCTATGGCCTTTAGGTCATATTGAGCGCTCTACAGGATGAGCCATGCCGCTTACGCATTGCGCACGCTCACTGCTTGCAGTTTGAGCGCTCTGGCATGGTTTTGATGTCCCACAATCGTGAGGCATCAAAGGTAACTGTAAATAGCAGTTACTTTCATCCTGCTCATCAGCACTACACTGATGAGGCCCATAAGGCCGAAACGGTACCGTCTGTAGTTAGATTTTAATTATTCATATTACAACAATATATATACGGTTGAGAGATTCGACGAGCTGACGCCATTGAACGTTTGCTTCATTACTGCATTTTAAAAATTCATTGCTTAATTTAATCTTTGCAAAACTCGAACAAAGCCCTTGAGGTGATCGAGTTTCCAGACTGCAGGTAACATGCAGTGCATAAAGGTAATCCAAATTTTATTGCATGAATACCATGCTCGTGTGTTAAATAATATTGAGTTTATCCATAAAATATTTACATAACAACAAAAATTACAAAATTCAGGATTTTAGCTGCCGTGCAATGATACCTTTTCATATCGTTATGAAGTAAAATGACTGAATACGAATTGAATCAAAATTGCCGGTCGAATTCGCATTTTTCCGAAGTTTGGGAATAGGTACAAAATATAGATCCCATTTGTTGCATGAAGATAGATCACATTAAATTATTGAAGATAGATCGACATGAAAAAGCTCTTTTTAATTTAAAAAGCTCTAACAAATGGGATAAAATTAAATAATTGTTGATATAACTGTGGTCATGCACGTCTATATTATTAATCTCATTGTTTGGCATGGCAATTAATGACTAATTGCATGCTTTTCGTCTGTTATGGCTGCATGCTTTAATTATGACAGAGCCAAAGGCAAAGCCAAAGCTGCATGGAAAATGTGATTTCGACCGGTAACTTTAAATCGGCTCGTATATTTGGTCATTTTTTCTTGGAATAATGCAAAAAAGTTGTCATCCAAAAGCTAAACCTTGATCTAAATTTAGTTTAGTTAAAAATTAAATTCGTGCACTCACTTTTCAGCACATGCACAAAAGCATGCTAAGGTTGGATTACTTTTTATACCCTGCTTGTTTAGGGTTACAATCGTTGTTGTTTTAAAATTATACTTTTCAAATATCGGTAAGAGGACACGCCCTTCTTAATTATTGCATGTAGATGTATTAAATATTGCGCGCTATTTGGAAAAGCAGTTAGTTATTACAATTATATATATAATAATATATACCGCGCCGAGCGTTTAAGATATGATAAAACGCGATGAAAAATTCTCAATTCTGGTTGGCGGAGAGCAGTAAAATTTCGGAACACAAGAAGTTTCCATACTGAAAGAAGAAGTATGTGACAAACGCCCAAACAAAATCATTTTGAATAAAGTTTTGACTTTTAACACTTGAAATCTTGCCAGTATCGAAGCTAAAATTTATGAACCTGTATGTATTTAAGCTCTCCAATATTTTGTTTACTCGACGAAGATCGAAGATTTTCGATCGAAACGTCTTGTAATAGCTTCCTTTCAATAATTTTTTTTTAATAGTCACTGACAATATACATATACTCAATAGCTGAAAGTATTTTGCCAGCTTCAATTTGCCACGCAAGCCTTGAGACTGAGTCAAAAAGTATTACAGCAAGCAGTATATATATATATATATATATATATATATATATATATATATATATATATATATATATATATATATATATATATATATATATATATATATATATATATATATATATATATATATATAGTATATATATATATATATATATATATATATATATATATACTATATAGTATATACAATATAGTATATACAATATAGTATATACTATATATATATATATATATATATATATATATATATATATATATATATATATATATATATATATATATATATATATATATATATATACGCTCTATCTATATGGTATTGAGCACTGTTTGTGTTTCGTAAACCAAAATATTAAGCTATATATATATATAGACTATCGAGACCATCAGAGGAGAGAACAAAGGCTGTAGTGTACAAATATGAATGTAAATCCTGCTCTTTTTCGTACATCGGTGAATCCAAGAGATGTTGGTGTTCTAGATGGTTGGAGCACAAGCCAGGAGTTCGCAAAAAGATCTTTTCTGCAATTAAAGAACACGCATTCATGCAAGTAACCAGTTTGCTTTTGCATATTTTTTTCTTGTATATTATTATTTCTTTGTACTTGTATTGTTGTATAAGTAATACTAATAGTATATGGCTTCTCGTGCAATTTAGAAAAAACGTACACTCGTGAGTCTTTATAAGACTTCAAACTCATGCACATGTCCATCGGATTCGTGCAATTAATTTTGATCCTTTTTGAAACACCCATGCGTCGTTCATGTTTTTTTTCTAGTTCAAATTGCACTTGAAAGTTGTAGCCTCGACAAATTAACGCTGTGTACATGCAGGGTGCATAAAAAAGAAGACAATTTTGAAACGGCTCTCAATTTCAAAAATCCGTTCATATCATGAAATGTTTGATAAATATAGTAATATCATAATAAGAATAATCTAATTAAACCACATTCCTACAAGACCTGGGGGGCAAAGCCGCTTCGTTTGTCACTGCGTTGATGATTGGAACAGTCTCCCTGAATATATTAGAACTTTATCTTTTAATAATTTTAGGATTGCAATTAGCAATTCTTAAATTTTCTGACTTTTTATCCTGTAAATCTACTCTTATGACTTATATATTTATATATATTGTAATTTTATTGTTCATATTTTAGGGCCTCACTGAAAATCACAATTTGTGAGTGGGCTCCCTGATGAAAGAACATTTTAATAATAATAATAATAATAATAATAATAATAATAATAATAATAATAATAATAATAATAATAATAATAATAATAATAATAATAATAATAATAATAATAATAATAATAATAATAATAATAATAATAATAATAATAATAATAATAATAATAATAATAATAATAATAATATAGATTGTTTGGGTACTTATAATTAATTTAGAATAAATACACTTTTTTCGTAAAGATATAAATTTAAAGTTTAAAAGTTTAAAACGCATTTTGAGTTCATGGGCGATAAATTTGTTATGTTGATAGTCCAAATATCAGAAAATTTACTCAATTTTAAGTCCTTTAAAAATAGCTGCTGAAACTTTCATTTTTTGGCACTAATTTGTTTGGCATTTTTTGGCATTTTTGGCTTTTTTGGCATTTTGTTGCTTAATTCATGCATTTAACTTATTTGCATATTGTTATTTTACTTTTTGTACGATAAAAATAAACTAATTACCTGTTTTTAACTAAAATAAATTCATTTGTTGCTTTTTACTATATAAAACAACTAGATAACATTTTGCCGTTGTCTATGAGAACATCGATCATCGCCGGGCAGCTCGTGGGCTACTTTTTTGTTCTTACCACATTATGACGTCATACTGTGTATCTATAACTGAATTTGAACAGACAACAGGAAAATGTTCTATAGACTATAGATATTATATTATCTCTGTTCTGTGGTCACACGATGTTTTTATGATCATGCATTCTAAAGAAAATTCAAAATGACTAATAAGATAAGATGCTTTGCCAAACTTTCTTAGTAGGCTGTTTCGTTCTTGAAATATTTGATACGATCTTAAAAAATTACTTTAACTAATAACAGCTGGAATAATCTGGTCACACTTTATGTAATCACCTGTAATCTGTATGATCTACAGTAAAACCCCACATAAAAGAACCGCCAGCCTGAAATTTGGGCTATTAAGCACCCAAAATACAAGTTTTTAAAAGTTTTTTTTTAAGTTTATAGATATATATGTAACGAGAACCATATTAGTGGCATAGCAATAGTTTTATGCAACAACAGTCCCTATTAACTTGTGTAGAATAGAAAAAAGTATAGTGTGAAATAAGATTATATAACTGAACTGACCATTTCAGCGTGAAGTCAAAATTCACTGGTTCTTTGATGCGGGGCTTTGCTGTACGACTAGATGAAAAATATGTTTATTAATTTTCCGAACCTGTATGGCTTAAGATTGATAACGAGCTTTGCCGCCATTCGCATAATAGGATCTACATTTCTACATTAATCATTATCACCTAAATAGTCATCATTATGATCTATAATGATCATATATACTATAGACACGCGTCAATATGACTCGTATACACAAATGATATGATAAAGAAATTTCCGGGGGAAATCGCTTTTAATTGCTTTGCTGACATTTGTAAATGCAGTAAAATGATTATGTAGGATCCCAAATACTGTTTGCATTTCCGTATAGTTAAATTTTGATGAAATGTCGTCTCTAACTGATAAAAATAATGGACAGTTTTTCTTAAGCCTGAGAATGAAAATGGATCCATTTTAAGTCTATAATTGCTACATATTAAAAAGACAATTTTAAAAAATCTTAATTTAAGAACGCATGCATTCAATGCGAACGAATATTTTTTGCGTCGTCATATAATTTTAACGTTGGGATGTAAAACATTACTTAATGCATTATCGTGGTTATAAATCATTTAATATCATGCCATGTATATGTAATCTATTATTTATCTTGAAGTTATTCACCCACAAGAATAAAATATTATAATTCCAAAACTGCAGGAACAATATATATTAATTAAAAACCAACATTAATACATCAAATTTGACATATGTGTAGGTTTAAGTGAAGTTAATGTTTCAGTCTAAAGCGGGATGGGCTCTATTTAAGACGGTAAGAAAGCGGGGCAGGCACAGAACACTATAGTGATTCAAACCAAACTGTACGCTGATACGTTTAGCAACTAATTTTAAAGGGTAAGCTCCATTCAATATTTCATATTAAAATTTTAGCATATTATCGGCATATGCATACAATGCTCTTTATTTTTTGTAACCAATATTAAAAAATTAGATTTATAATATTAAAAGTACAAGAGATGAAGTTGATGAACTTGATCGTATGATCTGTTCCTTATTTTAGAATTTGGTCATTTTATTGCAAGTGTTTTAAAAAAATTTCACGCTAATAATCCTTGCGGCTATCTGCTATTCATTTAGTGAAAATTTATGTTAAAAAGCCTTAATGGACACCGTATCGCATATCAATTGCGCCAAATAGCTGATCCTTCAATTCCCTAATATATTAAAATAAGCCTATATATAGTATACACATATATATAGGCAGCCTACGTGTAGAACTGCACCAAATGTCAATTTAGGGACCGGTCATAAAGTAACTGCTAGGGTGGGCCGGAGGGAAAAATAGGTTTTCCAAAAAAAAACCGGTGGCCCATCCTGAGAACCAAGAAAAACTTTCAAAGCCCATCGTTGGTCATTGGAAAAATTTCACGACCCATCCTGTTATACATGAATATATACAGTATAGCAGTCACTTTGATCAAACCATGCACTGAGTCACTTTGTCATAACTTTAATTAGAACAAATTTATAATTGGTTATATATTTAGTAGTTTACACACCAAATAGATGTGATTTGAAATAGACTTGATTTGATATCTCTCTTTATATTAATATTAATATTTTAAAATAGTACAAAGAAGTTCTTGTGATACTGCATGCGCTCAATCCTCGAATATTGTTTCGATGAGTACAGTCTCTGACGTGCATTTGTGCTCGTCTATTGCTTCGATCTTTGAAGTTAGCAATAGGCGTACCGGGCGGGGGGTGGGGCGGAGGGGGCGCCAGCACCCACCCCTTTGTTAGTTGGGCAAACAAAGCCAGTCGGGCAATATTCGCTTCACAGTCGGGCAATATTGGCTTATTATAAAAATAAATGGGACAAATTCTGTCAATTTTGTGGGAAATATGCTATCTAATAAGAATTTTTCGTAATCGCCCCCCCCTCCCCCCGTCGACAACAATTTTGGAAAGTCTCTCCGGAAATTTTTTTTTGACAGCTCGGGCACAATCCGAAAAAGTTGGGCAAATTTCTTTCCGCCCCCCTAATTTTTTCCTTCCCGTACGCCTATATGGAAGTTAGTAAATCTTCCACAGCACTCAGCTTATAATTTTGCAGTGAGCCAACAACATTCGTTGACAAATGGGAGTTTTCTCGGATATCAGTGCGAATTCTATTGGATTTTTCATTTTTTTCCATCATCGTGATCATGAATAAAACGCATAAACCTTAGCGCATGTAGAGATCATGAATAAAACGCATAAACCTTAGCGCATGTAGATTGATAGGTGCCACTTTACATAACGCTACACGAAGTAGTCGCGTGCAAAAGCTGTACTCGGGGCATGCTGGCTCAATCGTTGCGGTTTTAAAACAACATGGCGGATAAAATTCGGGTATGACTAAAGGGAGAGTTACCAACCGGAGAGTTATCTTGGAGAGTTATGATTTCGGAGAGTTATGGTCGAACCACGCCCACTTTCCCCTATGACCACACCCAATTTCGTAACTCTCCCGACGTTTCCTTGAAGTAACATGAGAGAGTTATTTTTGACGTAACTCTCTCTCGTTAACATTATGAAAATCTTAGAGAGTTATCATTTTTTATAACTCTCCGCGTTCACGATTGTGGCAATGAAGAGAGTTATGTCAGATTTTCATCTTATATTTTGGTATTTCAGTTTGTAGCGTGTCAATAGCATGCGTCCAAACAGGAAATAGTACAACTTTACTCGGTCAAAACAATCAGATGCTTGCCGCAGAAGGGTCAAAGTACCCCCAGAAGCATGTTTTGAAGTGTATTTGGCAGTAAATACGGTAAGCATAGTTGCAAGAAAATTGAAAAAATTGCGAAAATTGAATCTTTCAGAAATTCAGGTTTTGCAAATATTTTCCCATATCAGCCAATATAGGGCATTACATTGGAAAGGTTTTCTGGTTCTATCTAATACGAGAGCTGTATCTGAATGTTGGGCTTTGTAGGTAATCCAAGTGAGCATGTATAATAATTTATTTACTCGTACTCGCTTCACTTGGTAAGTACTAAAGTACTACTAGTTTCTACTAGCGTGAAATATTAAAGCTGAAACTTGAGAAAAAAGTAAATTCAGAATAATTTACTAAAATGTGGAACTTTTTTTCAAAAAACTGACATAACTCTCTTCATTGCCACAATCGTGAACGCGGTGAGTTATAAAAAATGATAACTCTCTAACATTTTCATAATGTTAACGAGAGAGAGTTACGTCAAACATAACTCTCTCATGTTAGTTCAAGGAAACGTCGGGAGAGTTAAGAAATTGGGTGTGGTCGTTGGGAAAAGTGGGCGTGGTTCGAACATAACTCTCCGAAATCATAACTCTCCGAGATAACTCTCCACTTCATAACTCTCCGTTTAGCCGGTCTCATAAAATTCAAACATTTCTTGAGAAGAACAACCTTTCACAGTATGTCAACAAGTTCATGGAGCTTGGGTATGATGATCAAAAGCAACTCTTGGACATGCAGCCAGAGGAAATTATTGATGTTTTGAAAGAAGTTGTGCTGTATGACAAGTCGGGTCATCAGTGCCATCGAAAACAATTTGTATCTGGCACTATCTGCAATAGAAATTTTGAGTTCGAAGACCAAACATGGAGTACAGGATAAAGTCAAGACACGGCAAGCCAGTGTACTACACCAATGTCGAGTGTTTCCCACAAATATGTTACAACTTGTAAGTATATATATTTTAACATGTTTTGCCTGGCGGATATTAAAAACAAAGATAATTTTGGAAAAACCGTAGGGCCAGCACCAGCCAAAGATTTGTGGATTCCAAATCCTGGAAAGCCAATGAACTCAAATTTTACGACAACAAATTGAATGGACAACTGTCACACAACAATCATTGCTAATTGCAATTTATTAACTGCAGGAACATTTCCTCCAAAAGTGATGCAGAGAAATAATGCAAGAGAAAACGCAAGAGCGTGTGATGTCACAAAGATTATTACAAGTGGCAGAATCAAGTACGAGTCTCTGGAGAATGGTGCTGAAAAAATCTCTCAAGTAGATGTGTGTGCTTGAGCCTATTAAATTAAACAACTTAAACCAAGGTACCATATGACAGCATTAAAAACAACAGTTGTGGGAAAAAACAATGTACACTTGATTTTTTTTGTTAAAAAAATTGGAAACATCATCTTCTCAGTCTGACTCTATGTCATCAGAATCTGATTCTGAGGAAGGGTGATGTGGATATTTAAAAATCAATGCCTGTAGATGTGACTTACAAAATATTAATTATATTAATAATAACAGGATTGTTTTTATTTCATTTTGAATTCACTTTAAATCTATTATTTTGTTGTATTGAATGTTGATTATTTTAATAGGAATGTTGTGTAGTAGTTGTAGTATGTATTGAGTGCAAACAGGCTATATGTGTTTCATGGCCCATCCATTTGCACAAAAACAAATTGATGGCCCACCCAAACTGATGAAAATAATTTCATGGCCCATCTTTATTTCCTCCAGCCCACCCTAGCAGTTACTTTATGACCGGTCCCTAATATAAATAAGCTCGGCCCATTCCTCTAACATTTGCTAAGCGCCACAAGCACTCAATGAAAAGCATTGTATTTATCAGTGCATTTTTTAAGGATTCTTCAGTGGTGGGGCAAAACTGCCAAAGCTGATCCATTTTCCTTGTCCTCTCCCAGGATAGTATGCATCGCCGAAGGTGGGAACCGAGTACCGCAGGCATGAGTTAGCTAGGTGGTCTGGGGCATGCCCACCCCCAGGAAATTTTTAAAATTTTGTCTCTGAAATAGTATTTCCTACATTCTGAGAACACCTCAGCTCCTCAAAACAAAGCTTTAATGCCGTAATTTGTAATAAATTGCATGCTAAACATTCAAACACAACATAAGTTTAAAGGCCGTTTTCCACTTCAAGCGTATCGTACCGTAACGCAGCGAAAACGTTTTTAAATTTCAAAATTTCGTGAATGTTGATTGGTTAGTACTTCCGTAGTACGCCAAAAAGTTGATTTGCGACGAACTTTTTATTTTTATACGCGATTACACCCGGAAGTACGTGGATTTATAAACCTCTTCTCAATCTGCGCATGCTCACGGATACGTTACGGCACGATACGGGCGAAGTGGAAAACAGGCTTAAGTATGCTCAGCAACAAATTTTGTTTTTTAAACTTCTTTTCAATGTTAAACTCATTCACTCAATACAGGTTCCATTTCTTCAGTGGTGTGGCAGAGGAAGGGGCCCAGTGGGGCAAAAGGCCTCACTAGTCCACGGTACTAAAAATACCATGGTATTTATATACGTAAATAAAACATGACAAAAAATTATAGCACATTAAACCCTGATAATTTTTCTATCTACTGACAAATAAATTTGTTTTTCGCAAGAAAGCTGGAAAATTTGCACCACGTTTTGGTTTGACGACAACTTTTCTGTCTCTATGACTATGCGGGCACAGATTAATATTATTGGCATCACAAAAAAAGAACCTTTGACAATGGGAAATGATCGAACTAGTTTTTGAAAATTTGTTGTTTGTTAAAAAGAGAATTATGCTAGCTCAAGAATAATAACGTTGCTTCGGCTGCAAGATAGCATCAGGGCACGAATAATTTTCGTTTATGGGAAGACTGAACATGTAGAGAAGAGTCGCGGAACGAGAACGCAACATAAAACTACCACTGATCTCAAAACTATAATGATCTCAAAACTACCACTGATCTCAAAACTATATCTACATGGCGGCCATATTGGTATGATAACTACATATTTAGGTTCTTGCAGTTTCTGGTTATTGATGGCAATGAAAACATGTTATCTATATAGAAAACGTGATATCATTGACTTCTCCTCCTAACTGAGAATATACTTTTCTCAAGTTTCATATAGCTAAACGTTCTGAAACTCGTTATGAAAACTGACTTCTCATTATAATTATTCTGGCTCCAACATTGGAGTGATTGGAGCATGTTGAGGTGAGTGAGCTCCATATATAACTGGAGCGAGATCCAGAAAGTGAAGTCAAGATGGCGGAATTGAAATGAAGAGCTCATATTTAAGTTTGATCAGGGTTGTAAATACTCGTTACAACGCGTTACTGTGTACTCGTTACATGTGAAGTAATTTTAACCTGTAATTAATTACGTTTTTAGAAATGTAACGAAAAACGTAACTAATTACAAAAGCAAGGAACGTGTTCCTTTTCCAAGGAGCAAATTGAAAATTTCTTTTCTTATTTTGTTAAAAACAAGAAATAAAAAATACAACGTTACGACAAAAATTCAGAAAAATGGCTGAATTAATTTTCAACGGATCACATGACATGATAGCTTACATGAAGTAGTACTATTTATTGCGAAAGTGGAAACCACAATTTGTTCCGTGGCTCAGAGCGCCAAACATTGGCAAATAAAGTTTTAAGTTTACATGCTTCGATTTGCATGTCAAATGTTTTAATATATTGAAATATCATCTTGATAAATTCTTGCAAATTTCATAGTTTATACCGTTTTTATTTACAACTACTGTTTAACAGATATTGTCTTATAATATATATAGTAACAATTTGCCGGTAAAGGAATTTGTAATTAATTCCTTTTCTCCGGAGTAATTTTTTCATTGTACTTAATTGCATTTTAGAACAAGTAATTGTAATCAGGAATTTATTACATTTTAAAGGGGGGAGGGGGGTGAATAGGGTATACAAATCCGCCGATTTGAAGCAAAATCCGCGATCCGAGCCAAAATATTAGATAAATCCGCAATCTGCTGTGTTAATAAGATCCGAAATCCGTGTAAAACATTCGCCAGATCCGAAATCCAGACAATTTTTTCTGTGAAATCCGACGATCCGAAAACCTATTCCCCCTTAAAGCAAGTAATTGTAATTGGAATTAATTTCTTTTTCAGCGGTAATTTTGCAGCCCTGAGTTTGATATCGACTTAAATAATAATACTATGATTTTATGAACTGATAACTTGTTTAACGATACGGTTCGTTAGAAAAAAAAACTGGAATTAGCCGGGGAAATTGGTATCAAAACTGTTTAAGACCTTCATATCTATATTACTTTTATTAGACGTCCAAATACACTTAGTTGGCTTCACTTAGGAGGAATGACTGAAGTTCTCGCTCCAGCCCGGGGGAGGGTAGTCTCCTATGCAGACCTACTTTAGCGGGTTTGGGCCCAGGGGGAGGGGGAAGGAAAAAAAATTCAAACCATATTCATTAAAGAAAGGGGTTCAAATTTTCCGGACTACGAAATTTTTTAAAGGAAAATTCTAAAAAGGGGTTCAAATTTCACAATTTTACCAATTCCTGCTTTTGGGGGCAACCCGTTGCAAATTTTCTGGCCCTCTATAACTGAGGCTAGGGGAAATTTGCCCAATGTACTAGCAAAAATTTTATGGTCATTTTGCCGGGGGCCCCCAAGCATGCCACCCGTCTCTGGACACCCGGACACCCGCCAGTTACGCCCCTGGTTCCAGTTATAGATAGGGCTCACTGGTTGAAGTCAACTGGTCCAGTTTTTAAATCCACCAAAACTCGACTTAATAAATTTAAAATCCACGTTTAGTATATGTTTCCTTGAAATGAGTGGTAATACAGATATAAACGTATACAGTAAATTATATCGCATGGTGTAGACCGTGTAATATATGAATTTATCTCTTATATTTTTAAGATTGAAAGTATTAATAGAAAAAATGACAAAGTTGCGGAACATTTTTCACATATTCCTTATCGTTACATTGGTGTGTCAAGTAGAGTCTTTTTCTTGGAGCGAGTGGGGAGAAGGAAAGAATTGGGGAAAACGAAGTGATAAACTGTCTAAGATTCATGCAAAAAGGTAAAGTCATGAAAATTACCATATTATTCCACGGCAGTCCACTCCATCTTAGTAGTGATTTTAAACACACGTACAAAAACTAATTCGTATTCTACTAGGCCCTTCCCAATTAGGCTAGTATTTTTTTTAACGAGCATTTTCGTTGTCAAACTTTTCTTGTTTTTAGTGCTCTGACACTATATAACGATCGAAACTGCATTTTCTATAGCTCTCCACATAAAGCCCGTTTATGTTTGGGAAGCAATCCAACATTTTCGCTGCGAATTTTTTCGCCAATCACATTGCAGAAAATTGGTTCTCACTTCCCGCAAACAAATTCGCCTGTGGTGGAATGAGCTATAGGCTGTTCTCCATTGGGGACGAACCATTAGAAGAGTGATGGGAGGGAAGTGGGGGAGAGATGAAATAAAAAAATTGCACAAGGAAGAAAGGGAAAATTATGAAAAGGAAAGTGAAGAAATATTCGTAAAACACATATTATTTGTATCTCTTCAAAAAATAAACTCATTGAAATATTTAGACTGAAAACAATGAGCTATACGCTATCTTGAATTAATTATTAACTTCATTAACTGTGGTTTTGATGTTGGGCTCATAACATGCATATCCTAAATAATCCAAGATGGCGGACACTAGTCAGCCCACTGTTTTCAGTCAAAATATTTCAAGAATAAAGCAAGATATGAAAAAGCTGTAAAAAGTATTAATCATTTTGAAAACTCTTTCACAGGAAACAAATTAAATATCCTTTGTCCAATGCCATTGTCCTTTAATTAGAATTCTCATGTTCGTTGTAAAGTTCCCAAGTTCGTTTCGAGGATTTATGATAATCAAACTTTCGATATACAACTTTTTCGTACCTTGTTTAGTTCATTTTCGAAATATTTTGACCAAAAAACAGTGTGCAGTCCGCCATCTTGGTATTATAATTGACCTAATTAACTGAGTTTTTAATGACGTCAAAAGCAGGGTTAATTTCTTCAATAAGTTTCTTAAAATGTTGTGAGTTAATTGATTACTAAAAAGACTTCGGAGAATCGAGTTTCATATTGATAATGACATGTGGTTTGCAAGACAAAAATTTCGCTTTTTACCTTACTTGTGACGTATGCATATTGAATGCATATCCAAGATTGCGGAATGCACGCAGCTTTTGATCAAAATAAGTCGATTTATTTAACCAAGCAAGATACGGAATAATTGTAAAGGAAGTTTATATATCATTTTGGATCTTCTTTCAAATAAGACAAACTTGATTTATATTACGATTTAAATAAGCTAGCCAATCAAATCGCTTACTATTGAATTATCATAAATAATTGGAATGAACTTCGAAAAGCAAACTGAAATCGGGACTCGGGAGTATAAACACCTTTTATATAGTGACATGTAAAAAGTAGTCATCTTACGTTTAAGGTTGCCATTGGCATTGTTGAAGACTGCTCGAAGACGTAACAAAATCAAAGAAACACATTCTTTCAATCCATATAAAATGGACCACAGAAAATAATGGATATCGTTCAATTTACAGAAAAACTATGAAATGTATTATTGACTATTATTAATTGAGCACATATGTATTTTAGTATAGAATAAAAATGTATGATAAACTTTTCTCTTTTCTGTGAAATATGCGCAAATTAGAAATAAACGTATACATTTAAACTGGTTTAAATTTACCTTAATTACTTAATTACTGTAATTATTATTTTTTATTAAATTTAATTTAAATTCGAATTATTCACAATATATTAAAAATACGAATAAAAACATTTCATGTTCACACATGATCATACAAAAAAGGTTTATTTATATGCAATTAGACAAAAGAATGGGGGGAGAAGGGGTTAATACTATAACACTGTCTGAAATGATAATAGTGAGGTTCAGATTTTACTTTCACTTTACTATAGCTATATGATGCCTCTACTGAGCTACACAAAACATGTGTGACAGCAAAGCATAGCTTCTACATGTTCCTGTTTGGCTGCAGCTAAATTTGTTTGCCACTCAGCACCAACCATGGCACCAATCGTACCCAGAGCCTGCCCGCCCGAATTTTTGTATCTGCGCGTAGCGCTAGATACCATGCTATCGAGTTGTGCTTGCGTGCGTGTGTGCGTTAAACACTCAGGTCGACTAATTAGGGCTGTATGCCTGCGAACAGGCCGTAAAACAAAGATGGCGGTCTACAGAGTGACGATTGTTTTATCCTAGAAGATTTATTATTTGTTGGGTTTTTAATTATTGTTAAAAATTTCAGGCAATTTAGTTTAGTTTTAGTTTAACTATTCACGCAAACTTACATTTTTTCCCCAAAAATCCGCTATTTGCATGCTTAATTTGCCGAATTTGTATATGTCAGCAATATGCAAATTATAGGTAAAGGCATCAATTAAGCACGCGAAAGGCTGATTTTTTAGAAATTAAAAGAATGAATAGTTAAAGGGCTTAAACTAAAGCAAATTGTCTGAAATTTGGTACAGGAATTAAAAACCCAACAAATGTTCCATCTATTAACTCAACATTCTCAACATATGATTCATGAAGCTTTTAAATAAATTGCGTACGCAAGTCAACTTTAGTTTGTTGGAAAAGACACTCCC